GTGTGCGTGTTATGTGTTCGTGAGTGTGTATGCGTGTGTTTGTGTGTGTGTATGTGTATATGTGTGTGTGTTTATGTGTATATGAGTGTGTCACTGATAAGTCCTACTTGTTTTCTTTGCCTGTGATGTTTCTTTCTGTGTGGGAGGCTTGAGAGCGCCACTGATAAATTTTACTTCTTTTTACCCTCCATTGCTCCTGTCTGTCCATCTTGTTTTTTCTGCACTAAACGACAGTCATCTGGTCTATGTGCTTCTTTTTAAAGATATTGATGCTTTTACGTCCCCATCGACACAATTTAGATCCTTTAGGAAGCGGGTTCACGAGCCTGCCTGTCAAGGCTAACCCAGGCTGAGAGGAATAGAATACCCCAGCAGAAAGACTGAGATCATCGGTTTAAAAGAACTTACTGCCCATTCGGGAATCGAACTCGGGTCTTCTGTGTGCAACATCTAAGTGCCTAACCACTACACTGTAATAGATGCCAGTGGTGTGCTTCTATCTCCTTAAACAAAAAAAGGTGGAAGCTTGCGAATGTTTTGGTGTAATTTGCTCCTTCTATCCTATCAAATGTATATCATTTCTCACACCTCGGGCACTTATATTATAATCTTCGGCACTGATATGACCTAGGTTTGATGCAAGTGCCCTAAAAGTCGTATTAAAACACAGTCCCTAATTCTTCACTTTCCCTCTGCTGTTTCTGTCTTTCTGTATTGCTTTTCCCCTGCACTTAACAAAAGAAGACAAAGAACAACGTACACAGATGGCCTGAACAACTTTCCAAAGAATAACACAGAGAAAACCTAGCTCATCAAGAAGACAGACAACTGGAAGGAATAGGGTACCATGATGGTCAATATCTGCTCCAGACCTGACACCTTAAGAAGAAGAAACAGCGGTTATCGAATCCGTGCGCTCCTCTTTCATCAAACAAACAAACTAAACAGCTGCCCCCCCCCCCCTTCCTTTCCCTTCCTTAGGTGACTGTCCAGAACGAGTTCCTGATCCATCTATTCCGCACCTACCTGGAGTTGAAACCCGAGCTGCAACAATTGAACAAACAGAGAGGAATGGAGATCTACGTCGATC